AAAAAAAAACAAAACAAAAAAACCCCCAAAATCCAACAAAACCACCAAAGCCACGAACCCACAACAAGCAGACCTCCACAGCATCTCAGCTTGAAGTCAGTCATCCTTTAGATCTGACAGAGTGCTGCTCTTTTTCATTGTAATGTTTTGTGTGTGTGTAAGTGCAAGAGGAGTGGAGAAATCTGAGCAGAGCTTTAAGATCCTGCTTGTCAACTATGTCAAGAAACTCCGAAGTCTCTGACAGACTATACTGTCTTGCCACAAGGTACAGCAGTGTTTTTTACTTGTTGAGAAGGCATTGTTTCATCCTGTTCTTGAGTAAACCTGAAGTTCTTTATTTGAACAATAATGTGGTGGGGAGAGAAAAAGGTAACACTCCCTTAAGTGCCACTGTAACTTGGTTCTAGAAGTATGGGCTGCAACAGACTTTATTAGCGAGACTGCATGAGGTCTTGGGACACGTGTCTTGGTGCCATCATGTGACGGTGACAAAGCTGGAGCTTACCGGTGGCATTTGGGGAACTCGTATTCACAGGTGTGCAGAGGGCCAGCAGAGCTCAGCTTCTGCTCTCTGTGGCACAAGTGCACTACTGAAGGCAGAAAAACTTCCTGGTAGCGTCCACAGAAGTTATGTGAGCAGATCTGGTGGTTATTGCTTCATGGCTGGACCCAAAATGACGGTGCTGAAAGTGTCAGAAAGGACTGTCTTGGGCTCAAATATGCTGACATCAGGTTATAACGTTGCTGTCATGTGCAGTGGAGTAACAGTGCAGGCCCGATACCTACCATTGACTTTGTACGCTCTGTAGTTCAAAAGAAAAAGCAAACCCCACAATCCTAAAAACCTGTATCAAAATAAAAGCAACTTTTTTTTGGTCGAACACTGATTTAAGGAAACTAATTTAATTTGAAAGTGCAATTTCAGAGATACTATGCTAATTTATAAAAATACTAGAAGATGAGATACGCTTAACTGACCCAAATGCTTTTATTTTACAAATATTTGTTACCTAGCAGGCTAAAGTATCTAATAAACCTTGACCCATACCTTGCCTTTTCCATAAATATGCTTGTTCTGTAGTTTGCCTGAGAACTGCTGAGGTCTGGGCTTACTGAAGTGAAGTTGTGTGTGTGTTTTTTCTCTTTTATGGTAAGTTTTGAGTGAGAACTTACTGTCCACCTAACAACACTAAATGCAAAGTTTCACACTTTTTTGTCCCATTATTTCCACTGATTCCTGCTGTTTCCTGAAACTTCCTGGTTTGTTCCTTTTTTTTTATATTTAAACCAAAGGTTGAACATGTTCCTGTTTTTCTCTTCCTTCTTTTCTCGTCTGTCCTCTTGCTTTATCTCTGACTTTTAGTCCCCTTTAATCCTTTATTGATGCACTAGTGGCCTTGCATTTTCCACTTCCCAGAGGTTGCTTAAGTTTAATGCTTCAAATACAATGATCTTGGAAATGACAGGAAATGCATGTAGTTATCAAAACCCCCACTATAACAGTCATAGATATGGAGTTCTGCTCTTGTCTCTGTTAGATTTTTTTTTTTTCAATCTCAGGTTATTTAAGCTTATGACACTGTGCCTCAGTGCTTCCATTTCAAGAGATTAATGCCTGCTATGAATCTAATTAAGTTAAAACCTGCATTGCTTTGAGAGACTTGATAAAATTGTCAGTTACAACGTTTCCTCTATGTATTTCTCAGTAATGTGACTTTACCACAAGGTGCAGGCAGACTGTTCCTGTGTGCCTCCAGCATGGTAGAGTACTTCATCTAAAAATAAAGGTAGCACTAGAGGTGGGTAGGTGGAAAAGTAGGATCAAACCCATGCTTGGTTGTTTTTAGTTTGGGGTTTTTTTTTTCCTTTTCACGTGCTTATGGTACTTCCTGAATTGCTGAGGACCCGTGACTTCAGTAGCTGGGCATTAGGTATTCTGATCATCTCTGAAGCAGGATCCTGAACTCTTGGACCAATGGGTTGCTGTCCATTTTTAGACTATGAACTGAACAGATGAGTTTTAAATTTGAAACCAAAACAAACTCTTTAATACAATTCCATGCACCAATTCCAGCTTAAGATTGTAGCTGACAAAACTTGAGTCCAGTGTCCCAAGGTAGTGGTTCCTACTATTTGGATTCTGCTGTCCTTTTTGTTTGGTGGCTTTGTTGTTTGGTTTTTGGTGGGGTTTTTTGGGGGGGGGGGAGATGTGGAGTGGTTTTTGTTTGGTGTTTTTTTTTTTTTCTTTCTCATTATCTTTCTCCCAGCTCTCAGAAAAGCTCCTACATAGCTAGCAAAGGATATTTCTCTTAGAGATTTATTTCTTATTGATATGTAACTAATCTTTTAATCAAATATCGAAGAGTCCAAGCTCTGTCTTCCTTCTTGCAATGTTTATAAAACCTCCCTCCCCAAAATAAATGCTTCTCTATTAATTGGTTGATATTTATTTTCTTTTCAGTGGACTTATTGGTCGCAGCTGGGCGATGGTATTTGCTGCTGGAGGCTTCAAAGTGAAACTTTATGATATTGCACAACAGCAGCTAACAAGTGCGCTGGAAAATATCCGGTAGGTCACTGGACTTGAAATGACTGGGACTGTAATGAAACTGTGGGATTTCTGTAATTATGAATGAACAGTCATATCTTATTGTTCAAGAGAGTATAGATTTTAAGCTTTGAAGAAGGCTTTAACTTAGAAGTAGAGGTCCTGTTAAGATCAGAACAACTGTGCTCCAAATCTCTCAATATCACTTCTGAAGAGCACTTTAATTCTTAAGTAATGATTTAAGAGCTTAAGTTTAGATCCAAATTCTTGAAACGATGTTTACCATGACTAGGTTATCTATAGGCCAAGCTTAAAATACATGAATGTAAGAGTTTTTGCATAGAAAGACAACAAAGACTCTTTCAAAATGGAAGTAGGTCAATATGGATTGCTGAGGAGTCCTGCTACAATTATTATTATTTTATAACTAGATTTTTTTAAAATTCTTAATATTTTTGAGTCCTAGAAGAACAGGTTGCTAGTTCCACTAAAGATGTATCTACTGATCAGTTACAGTAGAGGTTGGGAAGGAGCAAATCTGAGAGTGTGAGCACAAGAACAATCGTACTGGCTCAGACCCACAATCCACCAGCCCTTTTCTCTCTTGCCTTCTGGCACTATGGCTGAAGCCACATGCTTTTGGTATGCCACAGAGCCACAAGTTCAAGTCCTGCCTGTCTGCTCCCCTCCCCCAACCCTCAGTACCTAGGAATTGCTTGTGTATTCAGTAACTCTAGATTTCTTCCAAGTATTTCTCTAACCTTCCCTTGAACCTATGTAAAGCCTTTTGTGGCCTCCTTGCCAAAGGACTTTGTGTTCTGCAGGTTTACTGCTTGCTGTGTGAAGAGCTATTCCCTTTTGTTTGTTTTCAACCTGGCTCCTCGGTTGCTTTGTTTGGCCCCTCGTTCTTATGTTAGAAGGGACAGTGGCTGGTTGGCTCTATTCACCCTCTTCTTGCTGGTCATGAAATAAGGCTTTTTATATCTCTTAGAGAGAGTGCATTTGTAGAGCGGATTTGCGTGCAATCTTATGTTGCTGTATCAGCATTTAATTCTAAAGTTCAGGTTGCTTCATGATCGGCATCAACCTAAATGTGTCAGCCCTTCCTTCGTGATGCCTTGCAGTGAAATGTGTCAGCAGGTATGGGGAGTAAGTTGTACCTAAAAAAGGGGTGTGGAGTGTTGTATTCTGATTGCTTCCTGTAACAAGGCTTATAGCACAGAGGAGTGACTTCAGGAGCCCTTCGTAGGTAACCTTGATAACAAAAGAGGAGGAAAGTCTGTCTCCTACAATTTTATTTCTCCCCCTCCCCATCTTTCCAGATAGATGTTAGTCAGACCTAACATCTCTGTTGCTACACCTAGATGAGACACTTCTGGGTTGTTTTTTATTTTTTTGTTTCGTTTTTCAGAATTGCTGTCATAGCAGTAACTGTGATGAGATTCTGAATTACTGCGCGTGTTTTGCAGTCTGCGTTAGTAGAGACAACATTCATCCCTGATTTTTTTCTGTTTCTAGTAGCAAAATGAGGACTTTAGCCTTCCAAGGTTTTCAGCTTGGAAAAGTGAGGCATGAAATACCATATGTGGTAGGGTAGAGCGCTGTTCGGGTGTGCCTGCGTGTGCTGTCCCATAGGAGTTCAAGGCAGGTTTTGCCTTTTACATAAGGTGTTCTTAACTCAACTTATAATTAACTTGTGTATCTTGGCTGTTGTAACATCCTAGTTAAAAAGCCTAGTTTCAGGACAATGTCATTTTTATGACAAGAACACAAGCTCTGCAGTTTCTTCAACCATTAATTTAGTGATTGTACCTGTCAAAATGTGGTCAAACTTGAACTTCCTTGCACTGATTTCATAGCATACAACCTGCAGTAAAACCCTTTGAGTTACTGATATGATACTTGTGTAAGGGCTAGAGCTTGAGTAGGTAATGAGGCGTCGTAGGAGAGAGCAGCCAGGGGAATGAATGCCTGTTGGAGCTGTCTGACAAAGCCAGCTGGTGGCTACTTCTCTGGACTTGCTGGGATTTGCTTGCCTTTGTCTCCAAATCACTAGGAATTTTAGGGAAGTTTTTAGGCTTAAGGGTTTTGTGTTGTTTTGGTTTTTTTAGTATTGAAAAGTATTTCTTCCATTCTAGTCTGCAGTGAGCTTTTAGTGTATGGAGCTACTTTACATACTAAGGAGAAACTGGAGTGTACAGAGGACTATTTGTAGTTTGCCTTTTCTAAACAAAAGAGAAGTGGGATTTGAGTAGTAAATAATACTCACTCCTAAAAGGAGATGTTACTACCTTGATGACAGAAATGATACTTAAGTATTTATTAACTATTTTGTGATTGACTTTGAGTGCATTGACTTGTAACTTGTTCTGAATTTACATAAAGGACAACACTTCAGAATTCATTAATCTAATGAATTCAACTCTCATAAAACAGTAGGCTGGCAGCAGGGGTGTGTAGTTCTGCAAGAGGGCTAGGATGAGTCTGGAATGGTCCTACAACAATCATGAGAGCCTGCATGTAGCTGTATGGAAAATCTGAAATGTAATCTGTAAATTTATTCAAAACACTTGGTTATGGTTAAAAAATAAGATTAAAGCGTGGAATTTGGATCTAATGAAACAAGCGGAAATGCGTATTGTGTTGCCGCAATATCAGTAGACCAGATAGAGAAAGAAATGGAGGCCTAACATGGTATGATGGGTTTACTACCTGCCTACTGTTGACAGACGCATTGCAGTCAGTGCCCTGACACACAAAACGATTGCACATTGGATTGAACCAGGTGTCCTAGTAGCATTATTAACCAGTGTCTGCTCTAATGGAACAACCTTTTGTTCTGTTGAAGAAACAAACTAATGGACAGCTTTATGCCACACTTGACCTACTGAATGCATGCTGTAGTAACCTGCTTGGAAAATGTAACTTTTCATATCCAGTATGCTTTCTTCTGAGTCGATATGATTCTAGTTTGGATGCAAGATTGCTAAACTTTAAAATAATGAGAATTAGGAAAAACAAGTAGTACCCTATTGCTGAAACTAATCCTAAAACATAGGATGCAGAAATGGCTTAGTGCATGCCGCCCCAAAAACCTTTAAGATTCATGCAATGTGTAAATTTTTTTCAAATAGTTACTGTGCTACTGTTCTAAACATAATTAAGCTACTGATAAAGATTAATTACATTGGAAATGCTGTATTTTTTCCCAATGTAATTGGTTCATGTTTTATATAGAAGAATTCTGCATGTATAATGAAAGACTATTGCAAGGAGAAAAAGTTTAGGTCTAGACTCTGAAGAGAACACTAAAACTTGGATATTTGTGCACGCATTCTGTGATTTCTTTCTAGAAGTGGATGCTGGTTAAATGTGGTATTTACTTAGGCCCAAAAATGTATCCCCTCCAGGACACAGGAGAAAGTAACTTTTTTTAATACATAAAACCCAAACAGTTGTATGCATAAAGCTATAGCTAACTTCAGAAAAAAATTGTAGAGGATCTCAGGAAGCAGTCTGCGCTAAAATGTAGAGACAAGATTATTTTTAAAGCTATGTTATTATATTCAGCTGCACTGAACAGTACACTTAGAAAAGAGCTTCTAGTATATCTTCTGATCCTTCCTTTCTTCTCTTAGCCCAAGTAGAAAAATTTTCTGGGACAGATTAAAGTTGACTTTGAAGTGATAGTTGTATCTAGGGATATGAGCACATAAAATTACTACCACTACTTTTATTGAATAGGTACAAGTGAAATGCAATACTAGTATCATAACATAGAAATACTTGGTCAGAAGGGAAGCAACTTTGACCCTCTGCTAAATGGTAGGGACCCTCTCCCTTTGAATTAATTTAATTTTAATTAATTAAAATTAAAAGAAATTTTTAGTGAGTTCTGTTCTTCCAGAATGGACTTCTACAGAACTCTGCCTTCTGAAAACTGGTATGTGGTGCTAATGCTACGTGATAGTGAATCTAAACTCAAAAGGGAGTTCAGTGAGAATTGCTTATATGTCAGGTTTGTCTGACTATAGGTTGCTCTTCTGCATAGTTCAAAGATGTTAGGCCTTTAACGAATTGGAGCCAAGCAGTCTTGAGATAAGAATATCATAGTTCCTCTCTTCATTAAGTATTAATTTAACTGTAAATTTTATTGGACTTGATACATAGTAAAGTGCAGTATTGTATTAAGCAACCTTAACTTTTCCATGCTGTCAGAGCAAAATTGCTCTGAAAAACAAACAAGATGCGGGGGCCAGAAAAACGTAGCCAGGGATGGGGTGGGGAGATGCAAGGTGAAGTACTTTAAGAATTTTGTACTGTTGTAAGTGGAATCTAGAACTTGTAATAAAGGGCTTGAGTAATCAGGCTTGTACTAAATGAGTCTACCTTTCAATTTTATATCCCCACGCTGCAACCCCCCACCACCAAAAAGAGTGCAACTAACTAGCTAAGGAAAATGCCTTCATTTGCAGAATTGACTGGAGAACGTGTTAATAGGCTTTAATGGAAGGGGATAGGTTCCATCTTTCCAAAGGTTCTACCTGGCTATTCTGTAGTTGAAACCACCTACAAAGGGAAGTGTCTTCTCATCTCATTCCTTTGTGGCAGGCAGTCCCCCGGGCAGCTAGAATATATAATTTAAATAAGACTGATTTTTTTTTTTTTTTTTTTTTTTTTTACAATTACAAAGGCTGTATTTTGAGAACAGTTATGGTGTTGGCATGTGCCCGGTATGCAGAGGTAAGAGGTTGTCCAAAAAGCTGGTGAAATCTCCATCCCTGAAGGCTTTCAAGGTTTAGCTGCACAAAACCAAGGCTAACATAATCTGGTGTTAGCAATATTTCTGCTGCAGGTGCAAGCTGGACTTGAGACTTCCCAGGGCCCCTTTCAGCCAGTGCATCTGTGACTGTGTGGGAGACCCAGGTTTCAGGCTGGGTCTGTGTGGTCAGAGGCGGAAATGTGAACTGTGGCGCTCTATTTTAGGTAGGCCAACTTTGGTTTTTGTGGGAATTTCCAAC